TCACAAGCTTTTAGGAAATACCAAACATGCCAGTCCAGGCGATCGTCAACGATGTATGGAGAGCTGAAATTTAGCCTACAAAATATTTCCTTTGGGCTACATTTTGTATATTCTTCTAAAAGAGGCCTTCACAAAACTCGCAAAAAAGCATGTTTAGAGGTAAATTTATTTCACGAAACTTCGTATTATGTTAAATTATTAGTTCTAGATTGAAAATATGTAAAAATTGAAAAATTGCCCACCATACCCAAAATCCATGTGTTTACATTCTAGGCTCTATATCTTATTAATAGGCATTGCTTACTTAAGGCTCCTTTTGTGGTGACACGACCCATATTAAAGGACTGATTTATGCCAAAAAAATAAAAATTATTGATAGTTATTCAGTCACTTTAAGGCAGATTTATTTATTGATATAGTGACACAATGAAGTTGCTCATAATGAGTATTCAAGGAGAATTTGAAGGTCAATTTGTTTATTTTGTTGCCAAAAACAACAACTGATTGAACAGATATCTGGTACATTGTACTTCCTTCCTTTAGTATTTTGTTTTCACTTACAATAACACTGTAATACTATCATAGGCAAATCTCTTCACTTTGTGTTGTTTAATGATGGAAGTATGCGGGGGTGGGTGGGAGAAGGTAGTTGATGTTTTTTCATGATTGTTGACAGTGTGAAGTATTTACGCTACATATGCTAACTACTAAACACACAACCTTGGTAATATATCAGTACTCCGTTGTTAAACTTCTTACATATTTCTTTTTTGAAATCGAATGTTCTGTAAAGTCTGTATATCAAAAATACCATTATTGGTTTGCCTGCAAAGCTGTGAACATTAAAATACCTGAATCAGTGAAAGGGTGTCTTGGTCACATCAAAGTGATTAATGGTACATAGCTCCTGCTTTGCATATGGGTCCCTATGACCTGGCCAATTGCATGCTTCATGGTGGCCGATTTAATGAGTATGGATGGCATCATTAACTCACAAGTTCTATACTTAACATAGTACACAAGGACCAGTCTGCTTTAAATTCTAAATTTTGATCAATTTATTTTCTTCAAACAAACATTATAATGTTACACATCAATCAAAAGCGCAATAAATTAATTTTGCAAAAATAAATATGTAAAATAATTAGTATTCATGGATATAATGAGGATATTTAACCCTCTCATGTGCAAATTATTTTTTTGCTAAAAAAAATCATCTCTTCATTTTTTTATGTCAATATATATCTATTAAAGATTAAAAGAGAAAACAAAAATTACTCGTCTGGTTAATTAATTACAATTCTGTCCTCATTGTACATGAACAGCATTATATCTGTACTTGACAACTGAACATAATAGAACAATATTACAATAGCAATTTCAACTTATTTATATTTGAAGTATTATTTCCCATGTACCCTATATTTTCATGCTGTATGGAAATGTTCCATGCATGTTGGACAGACAGGCTCCTTGCATTTGTCGCACTGGTGCAATGGTTTTCTTTCTTAGTTTTGATTGACCAGGAGGACCCAATACCGACCTCCGGTTTAGCACAGTTCACAGGCTGCTTATCCTCATCAGACATGCTAGGAGTCCCCTTCCCCTTTTTCTTCTAAAGTGCCACAGTTAATTAGGGCCCTAACTACTGAGGCTTAAAAACACAAGAGGTCATGACCTGTTGGATTGTCAAGCTTGTATATGAGCCTTGCATTGGGCAACATTAATGAAACGATAGAATATGCGCATATACCACTTGCATTGGCGGATTGAATGTTTGTACTAGTTCGCTTATCTTTTACCTTACGCATACAAAAAAAAATTTGCATACTGTATCTGGAAAAATTTGCAGTTTAAGAAAATGGATACAAAAATTTATTATTGCAATTGAGTAGAAAGAATACATCTGGCAAGGTAACTTGCAGTATATAAACATGGGGAAAACCTGACTGCATGCTTTTCCGGATCGGACAGGATACTTGTAGGTCAGGGACCCCCAACAACTGTATGAAAAAAGCTTGTATCAACAACTAAACAACACTCGTAATAAATCTGACATTTCAATTAAATTTTATACAATTCATTATTGCACTAAATTGAAAAATTGATTATAGATGATTAGGTGGCATATATTGTTAAAAATGATGTGCCCAGCACTTCCTATTAATGGCTTGCCCATTATTGCTGACCTGTAATGTCCTTTTGAGACCTTCAGTCAGCCCAGCAACGCCACCTTTGATTACAGAACTAGTCTTTTGAAGGTTCCTAAGCCCCTTGCCCAAACGCTTGTGCACATTGTTCACACAGTCAATCTTTTCAACAAGAATGTCATCGCCATAAGGTTTATCTACTGTGTTCAGGTCAATTAGAGCTTTCAAGTCTACGTCATACAGAATAGAGACATAGCAAAGACCTTTCCCAAAGCACCTTTGCCACTTTCTGTTCCATTTTACTACTTAGAACCATCATAATTGTGTAATATGATCATATTTCCAGATCATAAAGTCATCAGTCTCTGGGTCAAGCGATTTCATCCGGGAATACTGCACACATTCTTTTGACAACACCTGGGTGTCTAACACCTCCCTCACAACTATGTACTAGACATAAAATTTCAGGCATTTAAATCAGCAGCAAGGAAACAAACTTGTGGCAGCTGCAATACCATTAATTCATTTAACAATATGCTTTGTTTATCCCTTATTTTCATTAAGACATGGTACGTCCGTTCTTCATAGTTCACGCTTGAACAACCTAAAACAACTGTCCGGCACAAACTTGGTGTGGCCAGCAAGGGTAACGCACTTTGTTGGGCGTAATGAAAACTGTAGTGGAATGAAGTTTCCCTCGTGTTTGGGGTTGACTTTCCAATACCTTTTCTGCTTTGCTTTTATGTTTTCATTATTCAGAATGTAATATTAACCCCAAACAAGGCCCGAAAGCCACTTCTAGGTAAGGGGTTACTTTCCAAGGAAATCCTGGTACAAAAATAACTAGGGCTGTCTTGCACATCAAAAGGTGCTCCTCCTCCTTGCTCCAGAGAATTTATTGCTAGGTCGATTTTCTAGAAAAAGGTTAGTTTTCGAGTTAAAAGATAGCTTAATGAAATAATGTAGTATACATATATACATTGACTGAAATGTAAGTCTAGGACTACCTGTATACCACATGTTCAGGCCTTACTGGATAATGAAATGTTATACTCTGGACGTTCATTGCATACAGTAGTGTGCATGGCATTCATTAAGGATCATCATCTCTTCTGTATTTAGTGTTTGGCATCATTCTGTTGATGAAAACATCCCTTTGATCTTCCCATCTGTTGGGGCACAACGTCAGCATACTTATGTGTGTGGTGTGTACGTTATGTTTCCCTCTTTCTAGGCTCCACTGATGCAATGTTGTTTGTAGTTCAGGAGTTACATTAACATCAAAGTTTAAATCAGCTATGTTGCATACATTTGGTCTCGTTATCATTGATGGTTACAAAAAAGATAGCTTAATGAAATAATGTAGTATATATATATACATTGACTGAAATGTAAGTCTAGGACTACCTGTATACCGCATGTTCAGGCCTTACTGGATAATGAAATGTTATACTCTGGACGTTCATAGCATACAGTAGTGTGCATGGCATTCATTAAGGATCATCATCAAAAATCTCTTCTGTATGTAGAGTTAGGCATCATTCTGTTGATGAAAACATCCCTTTGATCTTCCCATCTGTTGGGGCACAACGTCAGCATACTTAATGTGTGTGCTGTGTACGTTAGTTTCCCTCTTTCTAGGCTCCACTGATGCAATGTTGTTTGTAGTTCAGAAGTTACATTAACATCAAAGTTTAAATCAGCTATGTTGCATACATTTGGTCTCGTTATCATTGATGGTTGCAAAAAAGATAGCTTTGAGACATTGACTGAAATGTAAGTCTAGGACTACCTGTATACCACATGTTCAGGCCTTACTGGATAATGAAATGTTATACTCTGGATGTTCATAGCATACAGTAGTGTGCATGGCATTCATTAAGGATCATCATCAAAAATCTCTTCTGTATTAGTGTTAGGCATCATTCTGTTGATGAAAACATCCCTTTGATCTTCCCATCTGTTGGGGCACAACGTCTGCATACTTAATGTGCGTTACGTTTCCCTCTTTCTAGGCTCCACTGATGCAATGCTGTTTGTAGTTCAGGAGTTACATTAACATCAAAGTTCAAATCAGCTGTGTTGCATACATTTAGTCTTGTTTATTATTGATGGTTGCAAAAAAGATAGCTCTCACTCGTATTTGTATGGATTTACGTAAGTACTGGTGAACTGTAAATCATTATTGCATTATTTTTTTTTTTTTTTTTTTTTTCGTTTCCTTGACAATAAATGTGTTAATACTCAACAGATATCATTATTGCATTATTTGGTTTTTGTTTTTTTTTTTGTTTAAAAAATGCCACTGTGTGAATAAACACAATCAACCAATGCAATTACTGTACAAACATTTTTATTCTGACTGCTTTATTTACACAAACATATAAACATAACGTGTTGTGGGGTGCTACTTCCTCACCATTTCTTTTACCAGTTTATTCTTAAAGACGAACTCGCAAGCTGTTGACCACCTCTCTTCACTGAATTCAACACGAACAGTTAGATGGCCATGCCTAGAATAAACAAACAAGTCGCACCACTTTCTGCTGGTTACACCTAACTGGTGCTGTATTTGTGTAAAGTATGAGTGGGACTCCTTTAATTTTCCTTCAGCTGTAATATATGGTATGTTTTCGTGGCTTTGTATGGGCTATTGTGCATGGACACTTGATTTCAAGTAGCCCTTTTCCACAACACTGACAACTAACAAGCCCGTCAGGGCTAGCGCTAATGTAAACTTGGTCATGTTTAATAAAGTCCACAATCTTGCACAGAAAACTCTTGGTGCTGCGACTTTTGCAGTGTCCTGTACGCATTTTACGCTTCACCCTCCATTTCCCGTTCATATTTTAGTGATGGAAGTGCATGGCTTACTGTAATATTATGTATGGCAGTCCGCCATGTAATGCTCAAGTTGTTGTTCCTGATTCCATTGTTATGTTCCAGATGCAAAGACTGGATCTTCACTATGTAATATTGTAGTGATATGACAAGCGAGATGGTTTACTTTCAATAACTGAACTGACTACATCTCTTCTGGTTATAATGCAAAGCGTTTATTCAATGCTACTATTCTACTGCATGATATATACAATATATACAAGTTGGGTTGTGAGACGTAGTGTTTCCTTCAAGGTATCAGAAGGAAGTCTTCTCTAGATAACTAATACTTTACTTTTCTTACAAGCTTGGGGTGTGGTGGACTTTCTCTGATTGGTTGAAAGATATCACCTTATCCTAATCATTTGACTATTACATCATTTTGGGAAGTTTCTATTGGTCAGATAATATAACAAGCTGTCTCTCAATTGAGCTTATTTTATAAATCAAATGACCACTTGGGCTTGTCGTCACGAATTGCCCATTGTCCTGTCAAAGACTTTATATACAATAATTAAGGAGACATTCAACAGGTATCTAATTGGTTAGTGAGGTAAAAGTTCAGTTGAATTGGCCTATATAGTGTTGGTTATCTTAACACTATAGAACATTACAACAGTATGGCCCATAATTGTATTAACAATTGAAGAGAAGTCTACTTCAACTGAGCTCTTACTTTGCGATCTTACCCGGGTCAACAGTGCATGAGCCACTGATCCTGTCTTGTCGCTGTTTCAGCCAATCAGTGTTTTCTGCCTGGCCATGTGTGAGTTCTTCGATATTCCGAGCCAACAGCATGGTATAAACCGGCAAGTTGTCAAGAAATTCCTGTGTGGAGCTGAATTTCTCTGCAACCACAGAAAGCGGATCTGGCAATTCCAATGCGACCACTTCTTCATGTTGGTGCATGTTGAAGTCTGCAGACAGCTCCTGTGTTTGGTGCGGTCCAATCTTAATCTTAACCTAATTAACGCAGGAGGTTGTTATTAAGGCATCCATTGTACATAGCCATTCAGGGGGAACAAATTTGAACCATGCTTTGCTGATCTCTTCTTATCATTATATTCTACACCACCATTCTAGACATCGTTTTTAGAAAGAGCATAAAGTGCAATGGAAAGGTTAGCAATATGTCTAAGGTGAGTATATATTAGGACAAATATAAAAAAATGTTAGTTTATCATCCGAATAAATTTGAAAAGTGATGAGGGAGGGAGGGTTTTTTTTTTTTTTTTTCTCCATGCCGGCATTTAAATTCGAAACAGCAGAAACTTGTAAAATACTCATGAATCCATTGAAAGGCGGAACAAGGAGTATGCAGCTTGAGGAATCTTAATACAGCTTCTACTGTACATGCATCAAAAATAGTTGACATACTCAAATGTAAGAATCTCAGACATTACAGTTATTGAATAATTATATTTTATTCACAAAACCCGTTAAAATTTCATATGGAAAGCTCCAAAAACTTTGCAGTACAGACACATCAGGAATGGGAACGTGATGCCAATGTTTCCTTGCGGCCATCAATGTACCATAAAACATCAGTGAGTTTGTCTACAAAATCCCTTCCAACAGATTCAGCACATTGCATCGACCATCCTAGTAGATTATCCTTTAGCCACTGAATGATATGGTTTGAAAGTTTGATTTTGTTGTTAAATGGATTTTCTGTAGCAGCAGGCACAAAGCTCATGTTTCTGGAGCTTTCCATGAGCATAGAAAATGCACATTGTACATTTTCGCTGTTAGTTTCTTCAGCTGTGTGCTCCACGCCGACACAGAAACAAACATACATGCCAGCACACGTTGCATCGGAGATCAATGTTTCAGGATCCATCTCAATGAGTGTTTCCTTTTCCGTCCTTCCAAATTTTGCAACTACCTAAAAAAATCAACAGAATGACATAGATAGTCATGATGTACATCAAAAAAGAGAAGAAATGCAAGTATCATATTTGTTGTTTTTCTATCAATGTGTACACTGCATATATTAAAAACTAGGCTAGAGCTGTGTTGGATTCAGCTGAGCTGTACTGAAATAGTAGAGCACAGCTTTTTGTATATAGAAATGTTTTTATATACACAATAGGCCTAGGTCCCTTTGTCAAGATTCTAGATGTCAATAGCAAATACACACCTTCATTCATGATGGCATATCATTCATATTTTATATAGACCTATGTTCATGTCTGCACCATACTTGAATATACAAAGATATTCAATCTGTGTGTACATACCAGTGTGTAGCCATATAGACCTAGGCTATCTAGGCCTAGACATTTCAAGGATTAGACAGTAGGCATCTGTCTAGTAGTAGTAAGCCTAGGCAGTATGCTTTGTATGTGAACGTCATGAGTATTACAGCGTCTGGAATGTAATATTAAGTATTTCCAGACGTCTTGTGAACGGCGACGGCTACGATTTTTTCTTTATCTCCTGCTTCGTTTTGCCGGTATTTATGAGTTTGTACACCTAAAACACACATATATAAAATTCAAAAAAAAAAAAAAAATTGATGCGGTCCAAGATAGTGACGTGGGTGGGGATGATAAACTAACTTTTTTTTTTATTGGGCCTTAATGGACCTAACATAAAAATGTGAACAAACTCAAAACACTTCAGTTACAATAATATTTATTCAAAAGATCAAATAAAGTTGTTTTGAAGTGCTATAGTGAAAAGAACAAAAACATAGATGCAATAAAAAGATAATTATATTTATATATGTTTATATATATTATGGTGTTATATTTTTATTATTATATTTTATGATGATAATTTTTGTAAATAAATACAAATCAATAAATAAATTAATTAATTAGGAAGGTTTGTATTAAATAACGGATGGATTGATTGAATGAGGTATTAGTTATTGTAACTCAAACATTAAATAGCATTACATAATATATTTTTACTTACAGATACTTGGCTACTGGTGATTCATACAAAACAATATTTAGTATAGAGTTGGCAAGTCAACAATTGTTGGCATTGTACCTGAGGATTGCAAGGCTATTTGCTGTCATTTAAAGCCACAGTACATGGAATTCCAGAAACAATGGCAGTTCACAAACTGCATTGGTGCCATAGATAACAAACATCTAGTGATTCAAGCCCCTCCCAATTCTGGCTCAACATTTTATGAAGTACTATCTCTGTGGTACTGATGACAAAAGCTCTACAAGCACTGTCTTTGCCAGCTGACAAACCACTACCAGGATCACCAAACATTGTCCCTCATATCATTTTTGGATATGAGGTCGTTCCTGTAAAACGTATTATGAGACCCTACGCTGGACACAGTTTTGAAGACAGGAAGAAAATATATAATTAAGGCTATCCAGAGCTTGTAGGGTAGTGAAAAAAAGAACTGTTGCTTCAAGGTGGCGTGTCTACTAACATGTGTGCTGCACAACTTTTACAGAAGACAGCAGTACAATATTTAAATGTTACAATGAGCAGTTAGAAGCATACAGAATTGGATTATTTTGAACTTCCATGATCAACTATTCCTCGTTGTCGTCCTCCATCATGTGAGTAAAGGAAAGGTTAGACAGTTGTCTTGTATACACTCATCTGATTGGCTGTGCGAAAAATTGGCCATCATCTAAATTTATACAATACCAATCACCAACCTTGATAACGCCTCACTTTTGTACCATATATATATATAGCCTGGCCTGCTGACCCTGATTTTCCTGTGTTGGCTGCTTTCATGGCCTCTTCTAGTGATTTTGACAATGACTGATCAGAATTGCCTATACTACGAAAAACTACATCCACTGGCAACCTTGGTACTCTAGAAAACTTGGTCAGAGTGCACTCTCAGTGGTATGTTTGGTCAGGTTTTGTGAAGTGGGCCGTGATTACCAATACGTCAGCAGATTTATTATTTTGGTCTTCAGCACTCAAAAAGTTCAATTGGATACAAGGTCTTGATATTTTCTAATGGAGCGCGAGCATGACATTGCCACAACATCTTTTGCAGTGTTCTTTATAATCAGTTGTCCTTCTCCATACAATGCCAAAAAAATCTATCTCTGCAAATAATTAATTGGTCTGCAACAATACTCTTTGGCCCTGGTACATAATGTATACTAAATGGGTATGGTGCAAGTTTTGCCACCCATCTCTGTTCACATTCAGTAAGTTTCGGTTTTGTGAGTATGCAAACGCATCAGCCGTTGACTGGCTACAGTTGGTTGAATAGCAATTGACTCCTCTTCAGCATCATTACTGGTAACGGACTCGTAGCTCATTCCAAATATTCAGCCCTTAAATTATAACCATCATTATACTATAATCGGATTGTGCTGGTGCAGTTTGGTAAATAGCTTGTGGTTGTTGATAAGCCCCAGTCTCCCGTGGTCATGTGATGGGAAGGATGTACTGATATTAGTTCCTGATTATAGGATTTGTTTTTCATAACAGGTTTTACCCTTTAAACTGGATTCAGATTCAGATGACTTCCATTTGAAACTAGGTTTGAAGACTCCAGCAGAATGGCAGTGCTTTAAACACAAAGGTTGTCCAGGTAGGAATTCATATTAATTTTACCACAAATGGTTACCAATGCTTCACAGTAAGTGACATTGATACCTGCTGTAACACTGATTGTAATGGCATCTGCTTTCTGTCCTCAAATTATTTTTAAAAGGGATCTTTAGGCAAAGAGGAGAGGGACTGAAAAAATCTAAGTTTAGTTGATATAGTAAGATCACTGGCAGATCCAGGAATTTGTAATAGAGGGGGCCCAGGGAGGGGCATTGACAGATGAAGGGTCTATAGCACCTCATCCCCACCATGGTTGAGGCTGAGGTAAGAAAATTTACAATTATGTCACCTGTAGATGGCCGGAAATGGCACTCTCAGACTTAAAAATTTGAATGTAATCTTTTTTTTTTCTCAATATTTTACAATTTTGAGAAAATTAGGGTGGGGGATGGCTGGGCTGGCTGGACTTCCCCCTTGAATCCGCTACTGAAGATACAAATAGTCTTAATATATTGATTGGAATCAATATAATACATTGTTCAACTTGACTTGGTCATGATACACAACCCTTTTGGAATTGAGTTTTCAAGACTTCCGACTTTTTAAAAGGTTACTCGACACCAGCTGTCACTCAAACATTTGATTAGTTTCAATATTAAAATCAAGTTTTACTCCTTCATATAAAATTTTAAAAAATTAATCTTTGTTGTTTTTCTTCTTCTTTTAGGACTGATTTTTATAAGAAATCCCTTCCTACCAGCTTATCAAAGGTTTTGGGTGAAGCAGTGTGTTCAAGAATTTCCAAAAAAACCAAACAAAACCAATTTAGATCAAAATACACAACCTGAAGGATTGCATAGCATTTGGGGAAATGAGTAAGTTATGAGGATTTTAATTATAGATATTTAAACTTGATCTTATTCATTTTATATTTTATTAAATTGTTATTATTTACCTGTAAATGGTATGTCTGGAGCAATGAAATTATGGGCTCATAATTTATGCATAACTAGAAAAAGCTTCATTGTCAGTCTTAGATAACCCATATTTTTGCCTTTAGAGAACTCATTAAAAGATTGCGTTGGGTTACCCTTGGTTACCAATATGACTGGACGAATAAGCTGTATTATGCTGACGACCATGTTCCGTTCCCGGCTGATCTTGCTGCACTGGCTAAATACTTTGCAAGCAAATTGGGCTTCATGAACTTTGAACCAGAGGCGGGCATTGTGAATTTTTACCACATGGATTCAACTCTAGGGGGCCACACAGACCATTCAGAATATGACATGGAGGCACCATTGTTTTCAATAAGGTTAGTGACTTTCATTAAATGTGTCTGTAGTGCAATTCACTTACACCTTCTTGATGCAGTAAAACCCCTGTCTCTTATACACATCTAGATGTGTATAAGAGACAGCAACTATTCCTCGTTGTCGTCCTCCATCATGTGAGTAAAGGAAAGGTTAGACAGTTGTCTTGTATACACTCATCTGATTGGCTGTGCGAAAAATTGGCCATCATCTAAATTTATACAATACCAATCACCAACCTTGATAACGCCTCACTTTTGTACCATATATATATATAGCTGTAGCATGGTGGTTTAGATGCTTGCCTTTCAATCCCACAATCCTAGGTTCACTTCTGAAATAGGCTTCCCTGATCACTAGGCCTCCAGTATGATTGGGTAAATTAAAAGTTTGTGATTACAAGTTTGTGTTACTTGGATGTGTATTAGTAGTAGTATTCTACAATTTTATAAAATATAATAGATAATATTTGATAGTTTTAACTACCATAGGCCTACTCACAGATACTATAGTGGAATGTCAAACATACTTTATTTACAATCAGTCCATTTTATTTAATTTAAACATAGAAATTCAAGCATTGAATTTTATGCCAATTCACTGTAGGTGTAAACCCTGTCTTCCACTAGGCGAATTTATTTGCACTAATCGAAGGCGTCGGTTCGGTTTGGTTCCACATTTTTCGCTTCGCAAAAAGTAGAAACAGTTTGAACTACCATTTTCGCTAAAGTGAAAACTCTGATAGAAATGTGAATGCTCATGCACATAATCAACGCTTTCGATTCGCATGAATAAAATACGCCTAGAGTGGAAAACAGGCTTTAGACAATGTACATGCATCCGTTTTTAAATCCACTCTATTCAAAATACACACGAAGGCAATGGTAATTAGTTAAATTCTAATAAATTATCATAAAATAAACGTATAAATATATTTTTTTAAACATTTTAACATACATTGCATCTCATTCCTACAAACAATTGCACAGTTTATAACTATCAAGGTGTTCCTTATATGAATTGCATATTCAAAAATGTTATCAGATGGCTTTCAATGAATCAAAATATTATAAACACAATTCTTAGGGAATTTGAAATATGATCCGATTAAAATCCCAGTAAATATTTGTTTTGTATACCACAACATCGGTTGACCTGGATCTATGTATTCGGTATGTCAAATAAAATATAATATGCCCTGTGGCAATACATTGAGGTATACATTGTCATCATTTCTATAGATATGTTTTAATTTCTTATTGACTGAGATAACCAGATTAATTTCTTCCAAGATAAACAGTTGTGTTTGTATATTTTTCTTTTTAAAAAATGTCAACTTGTTCTATTCATTTTCCTAGCATAGCATACATTTTTTTGTATTGATCGCTTTAATATATTCACTTGTAGGTGGCAAATATTAATTATAGTTGTATTAATATATTAAATTAGAAAGAGCATGAGAATAATAAAAAGTTGTAAAGTCAGACCTATTTTGGGTAGCACTTGTTTTTTTAGTAACCCTAATATATCTGCATAAATCTATGAACACTCTTATAATTAAACTAAATTTTACTGGTAAAGTCATTTTATAACTAACCATTATAGAATAATATAATGCGAGGCAACCTGATCCAACACCACATCGTATGACACTATCTTACCTGTCACAAACATAATCCCATTTGTTGCCCAATATTTAAATTTAATAATTTTAATTCTTCTCTGTTAGGCTTATAGAAATAATGCTTATAGATCCTTAGATGAGGTTCATGCAACTCAAAAAATTGGTTTGCAGCGACCCTTACCCTCTTTACTTGCTTCCTCCAACCTCGTAAATTCTATTATTGAGCTAATCAATAACAGGTTGAACATGTTGTTTTGAACATTTAGCTTTGCACCATCGGAGAGGCGGAGATAGTGAACCAAACTCATCTTCAGGCCCGATCAATCCCATCATTGTGGAAAATAACCCAAGCGAGAAGACCATTGAAAACCCAATAGTGCAAAACATAAAAATGCCAAACTGCTTAAAAAATGTAATCTTTGCAAACAGCATGAAGAATGATGCCCCAAGTGTTGTAAATGCACCAGATAACACTGACACTCCAACGCGCCGGACCATTTCACGAGTCCTGCCACATCGATCTTGTTTCACGGACACATGGTATCCCTCAGCTAGATGTACAACATAATCTACAGCTAGTCCAACTACCAACGATAAATTCAGCGACTCCAATGGCTAAAATATTATTTTAAAAAGAAAAAAGATGTCTTCAAAATTACAGAAAATTAGTCACCAATCCTTACTAAAAATTAAATTTTATATTCAGTACAGTACATTGTCGACTGTCTTAGAAATGTGGACTTGACAAGATAAAACATAAGATAATTATATGAATTGAAATATTGACACTTAAAACTACACTGACTAGTCAATATTATTATTACATACGCACCCCCAGTTGCCAACCAGCCAACGGAATAACTCCGACAACACACAACGTAATCAAACTGATGGTGATTGTAGCCATTGTTCCCACGACCACATTTATTGTCGTTACCACAAGAACAATTAACGCTACGCATAATCCAATGACGATCCCTTTAACGGCTGAATTTGCAAGTTCCTGTTTCAAAAACAAAATAAATGTTAAACTATGAGCTTTCCATCCATAACCATAGCTCCACTATTATATGGGTGAGCGTTTCAGTCAATTAGATGAGAGAAGATACTTGGGATTAGATCTTCACATTCCTATTCGAGTACTGTCTATCTCTGTTTTTGTCAACAATAGTTTCATCAATGGAAAGTTATGATGATGATGATGATGATGACAACGACGGCGGTGGCGATGTTCGTGATGTTCACTCGGACATCGAGTCTAATATCGTTTCATACAAAATATATTAATATAAAAATACGCATACCGATTGAACTTTCATCCAATGCCACATTCCGTTGTCTCCTTGCGGAGTACACTGAAATCCTCCTTTTAAACCATTAGGCATCTTCGCCACCTATAAACAATAATCACCAAACTGAGTGAAAGTCAAATTTAGTGATATACTAAATGTGCACTAGGTGGACTGGTATTGCATAAATCTGTAGGCCTTATGTAATTAATGGGTGCGTTGTACCTTGCGGATTGTGGAATGTAAGGATGGACCTTCCTGCTCCCCCACCTCTTAGATATTGTTGCTAAAAGTCCCACAAACGATAGTGGTTAACTATACGGTAAAAACAACTTGGACACGCGCGTATCCATGACCCTTTTCTGATTGGTCAGTTATTAAGTTTGATTGACACTCGCTCCGGAAGCTATTTATACGTGGTTGAGGTAGGATATAGAGGGCTTATTACGAACACCTTTATTATTGCTCTCTGATTTCCTTTTTAATATTTTTCCTACCTCGGATTTCATGAAATCTTCCCAGCTCTCAGCAATCGGATTAACCTGTGTAGGACCGACCGTACCAAACACCAGTGTCGTCTTAACAACGATGGCGGCATATGCAAGATGTGTTCCACTTTTCTCTGATTATGAATGTAAAATAAATAAAGTCTCCGAATTAAAGACCACTTTTCTGTGATCCAATATTAACAAATGTCTTGTATCTTTTTTTATTTCAATTAGAGACCAAAGCCTGCTAAAGATCATTCCTACTGTATCTAATGGCAAAACGTTGCTGTGCCGCGAGGCCTCGTAATAACCGTTCATAATAATACTCATTATAATAGGCCTACGCTATTATTCTGAACAACATCCTTATCATCAACAGTACAGTCATAACCAACGTCTTTAATAAAGATTGGTAGTCCGCCGAATTAAATCAATTGCATTTAACGTCTTCATTGTCGTAATCATAATTTAACTTAGACTTATTGTCTATTCCCGCCAAAATCTATCAATCTATCGTACATTTTAGGTTTGCATAATTGATGTTATCAATATTTGTTGGTATCAGATTACTTTCGTATGTAATTTCCGGTACCGATTGATTTGATTCGTCTTGGTTACAGCTTCTTACAAATTTTAATAATTTAGCAGTTACCTTACGTTTATTGCCACATTACTTCAGATAGGCCCCTATTCATTTCATCGTATTTCTTTTATTAGCCATTAAAAAATAAATAAAACCGAAAAATCAATGACAATTCTTCGTTCCTTTTTTTTCATGCGGAACACAGACACGCACATGCAACATTAGCTTGTTCAAACCAAGGCAATTCAACAATGTTGAATTGAATGGTTCAAACCAGCAAGGAATTTTAAAACACGCACAGAATGGGTGACAAAAGACATCTTGTTAAAAAATATAATTTAAAAAACTACCATAAACATCAAAATTTATTGGCAGTAGAAAAAAAAACCAATTAGATTCGTGATTTTTATTCCCTAGTTTGATAATCTTCATTTTATCCCTGTTCATTTAGATGTTATATTTGTACATTACAATCTAATTAGAGAATAAATAACTAAATCGAAAGGGACAACAATCATGACAGGAACATAGAAATAGTAGGCCTATTATATAATATAAATTGATTTATAAGAGAAAGTAAAAATAATAACATTTTTAAATAAAAAAAAACTTGGGGTAAGAAAGAGCATTGGATAGCCCTTTCAATAATGGACCTTTCCGGTAAGCCCCGCCCCTTGGATATTGTTGCCAAGGTCCCACAAGACGACAGTGTTAACACATACGCGAACACGTGCGTTTGTGGGACAACACGTGTGTTTGTCAGACGCGCGCGTATTCCTAGCGCTGTTCTGATTAGTCAGTAGTTAGTTTGATTGACACTCCGGAAAGGTCTATTATACACACCGTTATATGAGGCGTTGGTCAACAGATCAAATGTGTTGTCATCAATTTGTTCCCCAATGTACTCTTTGAATTCATAAAACTGGGGACCAGGAGAAGACATATGACCACTTGTCAGCCAATAGGCTAGGCCCACTTCAAAGAAGTTCCTAAAGTCTGTGGGAACTAGGGACATGTTGTAGATGTCACTGTTGTTTCTCATGAACTGGTCCACTTCGGCATCTGCCAACGGAAACGATAGTTCGATGTTGCTGCTCTGAAATCAATAATTAATATGCACTTGTTTATAGAATAAAAATATTCGTTTGAGTAGTTCTTTTATTGTTGTTTATTTGTGTTAACAAAGACCTCGCAAGTAAAATCAATACAATATATCGTCATTA